ATTTCAGTTTCAGCATAAAAAAAATTCTTCACAAAAAATAAAAAGAACACTTAGTAATATAGGAAAGACAGGGACAATATTTTTAGCAGGGACAGCTGTGACAGAACAAGGGGTAATGGTTTTAAACTAAACCAGGGTAGGTTTAGACTAGATATAAGGAAGAAATTCTTTACAGTAAGGGTGGTGAGGCACTGGAACAGGTTGCCCAAAGAGGTAGTAGAGGCCCCATCCCTGGAAACATTCGAGACCAGGTTGGATGGGGCTCTGAGCAACCTGACCTGGTTAGCGGTGTCCCTGCTCACTGCAGGGGGGTTGGACTAGATGACCTCTAGGGGTCCCTTCCAACCCAAAACATTCTATGATTATTTGTTAAAATTATGTAAAATTTACATTACCAAAGGATCAAATTTCTCTGTAGGTAAAATTTATCAGCCCAGGTTCTGCTATCTGCAGTTATTTAATGAAATTTGATGAGATGGAAACTTGGCTGCAGAAGGCCTTCAAGGATAGCAGCTATGGTGATTCTGGAAAAGTTGTCCAGGTAGGTAGGATAACATGGGATCTCCCGGGTCAAGTTCTTGGTGATTTTTTGGTAGATGTTTCATCCAGAAAAGTTCGTGCAACAGCCACTCCTTTCATTTGCACTCCACAAAATAAAGAGCTCTTTCATGCTCTACGGTAAGCACAAGAACAAAGAAGAATGTGGCTTGGGTCATTGGTCTGATAAGGCTGAATTTCAAACAAGCAAGCAAAACCAAATGAGAGCGGTAAGGTCAAAGCTAAGAAAATGGAGTAAGGGACCAACTTCTGCAATGCCCTTGGTTTAAGCCTGGATTTTGCTGAAGTATGGTAAGCTCCTGAAGATCTGGGGAAGGGAGTACAGTATTTGATCAAAGTAAGTAAATAATATCATGTTGCCACAAATTTCAGCTTAAATAATTAAAAAATAGATGATAGTATTGCTGTGCATTTCATGTAATGAAAACAAAAATTAACTGAATGAAACATGAGGCCTTTCATATTTATCTTCATAGCCCAAACTAACAGTTACCTTGAACAATGTGCTATCCCTACACTGACCGCAAGGAAAAGGGTGACACAGCCTGTGATACATAGTAAGGGATGCCTAGAGCTGGATAGTAGAAAAGCAGAAGGTAGTGAACAAGTAAAACGCAGGGCAGCTTGCCCTTTTTGTGTTGTAACTTGCAGTGCAAATGAGTTGGCGTGAGGAAGTAAACATCTTGCAAATCTTGCTCTCCTGCGCAGCTTTGACAGCCGGATTATAATCTCTCCTGTGAATTGCAAACCTCTCTGTCCTTCACTGTAAATGGGAGTAAATTAAATCAGTTGCATCTAAGAAATAAAATAAAATCCCAGCAGTTGTAATGTAGCACTAATAATGAGTAAAAAGCAGATTTTATCAAAGTTTATCACGATAACTTTTATTTTGAAAGCAAATACCATTTACATTAAGTTGAAATACAATTTATATGTGTAATTAGTAACATTCAGTGAGCCTAGAAGTGCTTGGAGATTCTTTTAAGTATCTCACCACTTGCTGATTATCTCAGCTACATGATATTATTTTCCTCTTTATACTTCCCTGCAATCCTTGCTCTCTATTTTCTGGTAATCAGCTGCCTCTCTTTGTTCCTCTGACTCTCAGCAGGGCTCCTCTCCGTCTTCCAGTGTCTATGAGATCTGAGTGCTTATCATGCTGCACCTCGGTATCCTTTTACCTCTCTCAAATTTCCTGCATAAAACTTCTGGAGGCTTATCTGGTGCTTTTGGATGTTTATTTGAAATTTATGGATTGGTGGTATTTCCCAAATGAAATCTATGTGAAAAAATAATGATGTCAAATACCACTCCAGCATTCTGCCCCAACTTTATTAGAATCTGGGGCTAAGTTTTGTAGTTTAATTCTGCTTTGCGGTATCAAAGAGCAATTGGCAGAGAAGGGATTCTTACTTTGAAGCAGCTTTTCTTAATCAACTTGGAGGCTATCCAGAACACTTCTTCATTTAGAGCCACAAACACAAATCATCCAGGTCACAATAAGGCCATGTAGCTGTATAGAAGTCTAGAAGTCTGCATCTTTCGAAAGAGAAATGGAAGTGTGCAGATGTATTTCTGCATCAGCAGATAAACAAGGGAAAATCTGTGGCGAGATTAGGAAAGAAACTCCACATTTTTTCATGAGACCAAAATAAAACTAAATACAAAATAGACCAACTATTCCACACGTTAATGATTTTTCTTAATTCTGAAAAATTGTTTCTCTCATTCTCAATATATGAAAACCAGTTCCCCCAGAAATCCAACCCCATTTGGTGCTAGAGTTCTTGCTGTGAAGATGAGTAAATCCAACTCAAAGAATTAGTTGTTCCATCTTATGAACCATGGTGGTACTTTTCATATGACCCTTAGAGAGCTTCTTTGTTGGCTTTCTTAACTGTGCTGGTTTGGGCAGGGATGGAGTTTATTTTCTTCACAGTAGCTAGTATGAAGCTATGTTTTGGATTTTTGCTAGATACCATGTTGACAATAAAGGGATGTTTTCATTACTGCTGAGCAGTGCTTACACAGAGTCAAGGCCTTTTCTGCTTCTCACCCCACCACACCAGTGAATAGGCTGGGGCTGCACAAGAGGCTGGGAGGGGGCACAGCCAGGACAGCTAACCCAAATGACCAAAGGGATTATTCCATACCATATGACGTCATGCTCAGCATATAGAGCTGGGGGACAAAGAAAGAGGGCGGTAATGTTCAGAGTGATGATGTTTGTCTTCCCAAGTAACCATTACGCGTGATGGAGCCCTGCTTTCCTGGGGATGGCTGAACACCCACCTGCTGATGGGAAGGAGTGAATGAATTCCTTGTTTTGCTTTGCTTGCATTAACGGATTTTGCTTTACCTATTAAACTGTCTTTATCTCAACCCACAAGTTTTCTCATGTTCACTCTTCCAATTCTCTTCCCTCCTCCCACTGTGGGGGTAGTGAGTAAGCAGCTGTGTTGTGTTTAGCTGCCTGCCGGGTTAAACCACAACATTAACTTATGACACTTGTGAGATAATGTGAAACAGTTGAATGTGTTAACACTGAAGGCTAAACTAATAGTATCTCACAACTGTGGTTAATGTGAAGGCAAACAGTTACACTGGATCAAGGAATGCACAATTTCTTGTTACCATGTGCTGACTTGTTCATATATCTAAGCTTGAGGTTTCTCTAAGTATTTCAGACCTGCAGTGGTGAAAGGAACAGTGCCTTTTCCTGAATTTCTCCCCAGACTTCAGCAGCAATGAAATAGCATCAGTTAAGAGCAGGTTATGCTTTAGTGTTGAAAATCACAGGATACAGGTCTATTGGTTCTTCTGGCATAAGAAGTCACCTCTTGGGTAGTGGAGAAGTTGAAAAAAGAAGAGCTGTTACTGTCTGTTTATTTTCCTATGTGGTGGTGTTCTTTCTGGTCTATACAATAGTATTTTTGGTCCGTGAGCTTTTTCAAGATCATGTTACCGAGTAAAATGAGTGCTCCTAGCACATGATTTGGTCACTGCAGAAAGTCTTAGCTCAGCATGCTGTAGTGTTTCAGAGCTTGATATACTCTGACCTTAGCCATCGGTATTATTTGGGGGTTATGCTACAGTGGCATCCCTAGTTTCTAGGTGGGATTGATGTTCTTTTATGCTGGTGGTTGCACAAATGTATGAGGTATTTGACTTTCACATCAAATTGAAGAGAATGTTCAAATAGAGCATTTCTTCCAAGCTTTTTTCCTGGTTCCTTTTTTTTTTTAACCAATCTGAATTTCTTTTAAACAGGAATAAGTTTAGTGACCTATTTCATATCTGACACTGAACAGCTGTCAGGTGATGCAAAATTTCTGTAGTGATCTGTTCTGGATTTACTGCAATAGAGGCCATGACTGTCTACCATTACTACTTCCATGAATAATTGATGACTCTAAAGAAAAGCTCTGATTCTTTATTTATCAAATAACCCTTTGCCTAACAGACTAGAAGAAAGTGAATCATAGGGACATGAGCATAGAAAAAGGGTTTTTTTCTCAAGACACGTACAAGTTATGCTGTGTGAATGCTGGTTATCATCAGTTAGACATTTAGTTGTATTTGCGTCATCAAAATCTGTGAATTTTTAACAATACAATTTAAAGATAAAAACTATCAGTGGCTTTACCAAGTTTCTGTAAAGCTGTTACTAGATTTTAAAAATAGTTGTCAAATGCTTGCTGTGAAAAAGAAATATAAATAATTTTGACCAATGAATTTGGGGAAGTTGATTCAATCCTCCACATCAAAAAGAGTCTTGAGTAGTATTTGTGAAATTCTCTGCTGAAATGGTACTTTTTTTTTTATGGGACCCTGACTTGCAGACATTGCCATCCTTAAAGTAGTGTTTATTCAAAATAGTTTCTTCTAAATGGCTGTGAAAATAATCTTGGAGGATTTGGTTTTTTCATAGGTGGTGTAGAAGTTGTTTTATGGAAAAGATTAATTTATTGGTTCCTGGGAATTTTTTTTTCTTCATAAAACTGAGCTGTTGTGTGTTATTCTGGAGTTATTTGTATATAATAATCTTTCACATTTCCATTGATCCTTTTGTTAGTAATTTTATTTAAAGTATTCGCATTTCATTTAGTGAGCTAGCTTTTCTATAACAAACATAAATCAGTGTTTTGATAGGAAAACTTGTTCAGCATTTACAGCTTTTCACTTTCTTCAGTAAAGGCAGATTGGTGCATATAGGATTGAGCTAAGGATCTGTATTTCAAGATAGCTAATGACACTTTTCTTTGTTCCTTTCTGTATTACCTCTTTGTAAAACTGCATGAAGAAGAAATATTAGTTTTCAATGAAAAAGAATAGTTTCCTCTAGTGTGGGGTATGGTATAGCATGATGCAGAACTATAGATAACATAGCATACAGTCGAAGAGCAAAAGCTTTCATTTCTCTTTTTCTTCTCTCTTTACAGATGGACCCAATTCAAAAAGCTGTAATAAATCATACATTTGGGGTTCCTCTGCCTCATCGAAGAAAGCAAATCATATCATGCAACATTTGCCAGCTGAGATTTAATTCTGATGTAAGTCGATCTTTTTGTATCAGATTAGAAATATGTACTTATCTTCTAGGATGTGCCATAATTTGCATAAATTGAACCTAAATGAAATGTCGTGATTTCAGTTTGTGGCTCAGCAGATGAAAAGGCTGTAGGATGCTTCTAATAAACACAATTATTTGGTAGTGTTTATACACCCGGCCAGATTTTCCCTGCGGATATATCCCTGCAAGCTCATCAACTTCAGTTGTGCTGCACAGAGTGTAAATAGGAAAATGGATTGATCCATTACTGCTAATAAGGCTGAAATATTTCCTGGGTCCTAATTCTTCTATCAGTCCTGGTTATGTTTGCCTTCTTTTAGAGCCTGTAAATGTTAGAAGTTACTCAGATATACTTACAGTCCTTGTGGATCTACCTTCCTTTTTCTACAATATCTCTATCTAGCCATAATTGTATTTTAATGTTCCTGTCCTGCCAGTACAAGCTTAAAAAAAAAAAAAAAAAAGCAAGTGGTTTTATTGTCAGTTGGTTCCTACCTTACATAGTCTCATTCCTCGACCATGAAGTAGAGCAAGCTGAACTGGAGATGTTCTCTAATATACAGAGTACAGAGGAAACCCATCCCCCATAATTACCCCAAGCTGTGCTGTGGTGCTCCTTGCCAAGGAATACCTGTTCTGTCACAGAAAAGCCTCTTAGAATTTAACTCCTTTATTTCCTTCTCCAGGATCACTGTGTGTGCAGACAAAACCTGACATAGTACAATATATTTTCTTCTGGTATTCTAGTCTCTCCAGGAAGTTTCTTGACATGGGCATCACTGGTCAAAACTTATCTTGCCCTACCAAATGGCTTTCATTTACTACCTGTTTTACTAATTTAAATATGGAAGTTACTTCTGTCAGAATGAAAGTGTTTGAATTTAGAGTGAGGTCTAACTCAGAAACATCCACAAGGTTCCTTCTCATGCCAGTAATATGAAGTGGAATAATTCTTGCATGCTGCTGCTTCTTTGTAGGCAGCTGTTTATGTACAGTTTGTACGTATTTTTTATTTATCAAAGCCATGAACTTGTCAAAAAGTTAAATTGAACCTTGAAGCCTTCTTTAAAGGATTGGCCACCTAGGGATGAAAATAATGCAGCTCTCTTCATTGTCCTCAGCTTTTTATTCCTTAGAAGTAATTGTATCAAGGTCTCAGTCACACTTCCCAGACCAGTCAACATCATGTCCATACTTTCACTGATGACTCCGGGTTTTCTAGTTCATGGACAAAATGGACACCTTCCACTTATAACACTGACATCATTCTCAAACAGTGGTGCAAGGAAGGGTAATACATTCTCTGGAACTGTCATGTCCCTCATAGATAGAGATAGAAGAGTCAAATTAGGGTCTTCCATTTAGAAGGCAGATGCTAGAATTAGGGCTGTGGATACTGAGCCTTTCGGGGGGGGGGATGATGGAGACTTCTGGGCCACGGTGGATTCCACTGACTGAGCAGCCCAGCTCATTGCTCATAATTTTTATCTTCGTCTTAGGAAAAAGCGTGTCATGCCGAATCAGACATAGCGTATAGCTGCAGGAGATGTCAAATACTTTGATGTTACATACGGAAGTGAAACACTTCCTTTCAAAAAGGGTAAACCATTTGTTAGTCTGCAAAAAGATCCAGACAAAAGAGAGGATGAACACATCATTAAAATTACTTAGATATTAGCAGATATACAACTGGGATTGATACATGGAGTGGAAAATTTTCCAGCTGACAGGAGCTAGGCATTTTCCAGAATAAAATGTTTGAAATAAAAATTCTTCTACACAGAAGCAAACAAGATATCAGTGGGCACTGGTACTTCTTACTCAGAGGACCGGTATGTTCTTACACTGTTCCTTTTCTGCTGCTCTTAGAAAGGATTCCAAAGAAGAGAGTGGGAAGAAACAGTGGCTGTTTTCAGAGTCATCTACAGTGTCCAAAAAACTGGTTTCAGAAGAAATCTGTTCATTCATACTGTTTACAGTAAACTCTTGGAAGAAAAGCTGTTAAGCAGATATTTAGTTGTCCCTTCACACCTTCAAGTGATAAGAGACTTGAACTCCAATTTGCCAACACTGTACAGTGGAAGATTGTTCTAATGCTTCCCTTTCTCAAAGTTGATCAGTATCATTAACTTTATGGAATAGGGAGACCTTGCTGAGTACCTTTCACTGTACACTTTTAATATTCATCTGATTTTTAAAGCAACCACAGTGTTGCTGATTGATGTAGAGATTGTGATCCAAATGCTGCTCAGTGATTAACCTGGGATGATATCCATCCCCCTTTTCCCTACCACACAGAAGAGATCTGTGGATATCTTTTTGATGGTCTCTTCTCATTCCAGTGCATATACTGCTGAAAATCACAAAGTGCTCTGCTGACATATTTCAAGAAATAATAAGTAGTCAGAGTTCCACTGCAGTTTTGAAATGCTTTTCTGCAATGTGAAGGTAATAGCCAGAGCTAAGTTCCTCAGTGCTTGGGTAATTCTGAATGTCCACCAGTTTTTGAAGCAAAAATGTGCTAAACTAAAGATTTAATGTTGAGTCTTAAAGGAAAGATTGCTTTGAAGAAAAAGAGCTATTAGCTATCATTTTTTGATAACTTTACTGTATGAATGGCAAGTACACACATTGCAATTTTTTCTTTTGTTATTATGAAAAAGTTGTCATTTACTGAATATTCCTACCTTCCATTTTCATTATATTTTGCTGAACGTGATTTAAAACCATAACAACAATAAATAGCTTTTCTGTTCAGAAACCTAGGGCTTTGTGGCTGTTCTACCAATGTGTCTTTATTTTTAGATGCTGGAGATAGGATTTATCAGAGAGTAATGAATAGAAATTCCATTTACCTACTGCATGACAGTATTATGAAAATGTTTACAATAAAACTGGTCTGCGAGATTTTTCATTTCTGCAGAGAATACAGAATTTTCTCCCCTTTGATACAGATTTCTTTCAGAGCAGAAGAGCTTTTTTTCTGGTTACATGGTATCAAAATTACATTTCAAAGAAAAATGAGAAAAGGCAGTACAATGGTCTAAAATCGTTTAGTTTCTTTCTAAAGGAGTTATCTATAAATCTTCATGACAGCTGTGTGTTCAGTATTTCTTTTTAAAATAAATCTTCTCATACAAGGGAAGGGAGGAATGAGCAAGTAACTAAAGCCTCTCCATGCTGAGAAAAAACATTAGAACAGCAGAGGTAGGTTCTGTGGAGTCTGTTTCAAGCAGTGTGGTTTTGGTTGGGGTTTTTTTGCATCGAGAGAGGTCTATATATAACATTTACATTCACGCTGTGCATCCAATATAGGGCAAAACATTTAAGTATGTGCTTAGCTGCAAGTCTGTGAGTTGCCATTTAGATTTTGGCAGCTGCTGAGAGCTACTGCACTAGTTCAGAAGTGTTAAATGCATGCTTTGTAGTAAACATTAAACATCTGCTAAAAGCACCCTGTAAAACGAAGTCCAGCCGACTTCAGTAGGACAACTTGTGTCTATAGGTAGTTGTAGGAGTAAATTCACTGCTAACATGAGCGATCACTATAAAACCAAGCGAAACTAAAACCCAGAACAACCCCAGGGCTTTGAAAAAAAGAGCTTACTAAATTTTCCTCATCTTTTGATCACCTGTCTTGACTATTTGATCTTCCTTTGCCCACATTTCTAATTTCATCATTTGTTCAAGGTAGTGGCAGTGTCTGTTAACAAGGTCAATTTTTGCAAAGGGATTCTCCCTCTCTTCCCTCTCATTTAATGCAGATGGCTGAGTGATAATCCAGCTTGCATTTAGAGAAAGGTTGGGCAGCATTTTTATGTACTCACAGGACTTGAATTCCATTATGGTACATTGTAAAAATATTTCCAAATATGTTAGCCAGAAATTATTGTTTCACTTAAATAGCAACAGTAGCAATATTCACCTGAAAATCATGAGCTGAATGCTCATCCTAGAGTCCTTACTTGCTGGGGTATTTTTACCTTGTTTTTCTCCACCTCTATAAAGTAAAGGTACCACTGAATTGATACATGGTTCGTAGCTTGGTATCTAGAACAAATGATTAAAGTATCAAATTCTAAGCACCTAGAGAATAATAAGATGATAAGAAACAGCCAACATGAATTTGTCAAGAACAAATCGTGTCAAACCAATCTAATTTTCTCCTTTGACAGGGTAATTGGTCTAATGGATAATAGGGAATAAATAGATGTGATATATTTTGGCTCTAATAAGGGTTGCTACAGTCCTATGTGACAGTCCTGTAAAGTAAGTAGGGGAATATGGTCCAGGTAAAACTGTTAAAAGTTGGTTGCATAACAGATTGAAGAACTGTACTGAGAGTAGTTGCTGATAGTTTTCTGTCAAAACAAAAGATTACTACAAGTCAGGATTTGCAGGAGTCTGTTCCATGCTGCTGCTACTCTAAATTTTCATTAGCAATGCGCCTGACAGAATAGAGAGTACACATACAGCAGGTTTGTGGATGACACCTAGATGGAGGGTGGCAGGCACTTGATGGAAGGTGGCAAGTTCAGGATTGCGGTCCAAAATTATCTTCACCAGTTGGAGAAAACAGTCTGGAATTCTGACAAGTGCAGGAAATAAAAGCACAAATGATTGCGCTTAGACTGGAAAAATGAAATGCACAAATCCTAATCCTATTATATTTTTTTTTCCCTAAGAGTGTTACATTTATCAATAGACAGGTAAGTATTCCACAGTATTTGAAATTGGCAATGCCTCAGGTGAAGAATTATTTACAGCAGTGGTCATCGCACTTTAACAAAAGCATAATTAGATGCAGAATTTAGAAGCCATCCACTAGTATGACAAGATGTGAAAAAACTTCACTTGGCTAGGGAAAGTAGAAAGGACTGGATAGATGTACAGTGGAAAAGACAAGAAAAATATAGTAGGTTTTCGGTATATGGAAAGAGGTTAATAAGAGAGCAGTGAACAATTTATCTTTGTGTTCCT